AGAGTCTTCACCTCTTTGTTATCTTTGAAAGACTTGAATGCAACTTTATATATGCGTTATGATTGAGGACTTCCTGACGACGACGACTACATATTACTAGCCTAAGCTGGTGAGAGCATCATCAGACGCCCGGCGCTCGATCAAAATACTTTTTAGCGCCAACCCGCGCATGCTTGAGTCGCAGCGACTTGCTTGAGTCAAAAAGTAAGACACGATCGTCATTGCGGCTGCGCTACTCTAACACTGTGAGTATAAAAAGTCTGCAGCTTAAACTTTGTCTTGAAACTCATCATGTCTTCCAGCAACCGTTTTTGTCGCCTCTTCGACGCAAACAGTGGATCCGACCTCCTCCTCGATGGATGCTCTGTTCAAGGTTCTATCACCGATGTCCATGCCCTGGTTACAGTATCTCAGAAATTCACCAACGCTCATGCAACTTCGGCTGTCATGGGTGTATACACGTTTGCTCTTATGGTAGATGCTGCTGTGTGCAAGTTCGAGTTGGTACGAGGCAACGGAACAAAAGTCCAAGGTGTGGTGAAGGAAAAGCAGGAAGCAAAGCAAGAATATGACAACGCTGTATCGAAAGGCTTCACGGCTGGTTTGGGTCAACAAGAAGCTGGCGATGGTACGTGTTAATTTCTTTTGACGCAAAGAGTACAAACTAATCTTCCAACTATAGTTTTCTCCATTAGCGTTGGAAACATCTTTCCAGCGGAGACCGTTACTATCAATTTGCAATATGTTCAAACTCTCATGGACGACGAGAAACACGACCAAGTCAAGTTCATCTTTCCACGAACTTATGCCCAGCGATATGGCTCTGCTCCTTCGGTCAATAGCGCCCTTGGCCGTACCTCACACCAACCCTTCCGAATGGAGTTGGAATTCCAGCAAGCAGGCGATATCAAGAGCATCTCTTGCCCATCCGGTCATCCTATTTCTTTCGATCTCGGACGCCCAGATGCAAACGGTATCGCACCTCAGGACGGTGATTTCGCCAGCGTATCCTTGATAGACACTACGGGCTTTCTTACTCAAGACGTCGTCGTTGTCGTGACGGCAACTGGCCTCGACGCTCCTCGATGCTTCATTCAAAATAGTCCAAATCATGAATCCACGGCGCTAGCGCTTACCTTTGTACCGAGGTTCAACCTTCCAGATGTTCAAGGAGGAATGGAATATATTTTCCTGGTCGACAGGAGTGGAAGCATGCAAGGCGAGAAGATTCGGCTCGTTCGTGAGGCGCTGGTTGTGCTGCTCAGAGGTTTACCTACCACGGGGACGACTTTCAACATCTTCTCATTTGGATCCAAAGCAACCAAGTTCTGGGACAGTAGTCGTTCGTATACTCAGTCAAACTTGGACAAGGCAACCAAACACATCGAGTATGTAATTTGCTTCGATATTTTTCTTTTTTTTGGTTAACAAATCTTTGTAGCTCCATGGACGCCGACTATGGTGGCACCGAAATCGCTTCCGCACTACGTCTAGCGTACGATTCCCTCTCAAACCCTCTCAAGCGCCCAGTTGCAGTGTTTCTTATCACGGACGGCGAGGCATGGGATGTTTCCACCTGCATCGAACACACTCAAAACGCCCGTTCAACATTGAGCGACGATCCCAAATCATTCATGCGTGTCTTCACGATGGGAATCGGGTCGGGTGCTTCAAGCGATACTTGTGAAGGGATTGCGCGTGCGGGAGATGGAATGACGGTTTATGTCAAGGAGGGAGAGCCGATTCTGGGAAAATGCGCAAGACTGGTCAGGGCGGCGAGGACGCCGCGGGTCAAAGTCGAGGTTGAATGGGGCGTGGTCGGCGATGGCGATGGCGATGGCGATGGCAATGGAGATGAAGATTTTGAGATGGTCGAACCCTCGGTCCCTGCGTCCTCTTCCGCCGTCTCAGCTAAACCCGCTGGTCCCATCAACCTCTTCAACGCCAACTCTACAAAAGCGCAACTTTCAACCGGTCCTCCGCCCAAGCCCAATCCGACTCTTCCTCCCGTTCCTCGTATCCAGCAATCACCACTCGGAGGAAAAATCTCCAATATTTTCCCCGGTACAAGAACACAGGTATACGCTCTCGTTCGCACTTCTAACGGTGAAGCTCTGGATGATACGATCAAGGAAGTCAAGCTCAAGGGCGTTGTAACCTCTACTGGCGACGATCTCGAGCTCGTCGTACCCGTGATGAAAACCCTTTCCTCCTCGCCTTTCATCCCCACCCTCGCAGCAAAAGCGCTCATCCGCGATCGCGAAGAAGGAAAAAGCCAATGTACCACTGATAAATCTGACCTCAAAGAAGCCTATCTCGAGAAAGACATCATCCGCCTCGGAACGCAGTATACGCTCGCCAGCAAGTACACCAGCTTTGTTGCCGTCGATTCGACCACGCAGGTCCCCGCGCTCGCGCCTTCTTCTCCTCGCGCAGCCGGGTTCGCATCGGGGTCCGTGCGCGCCATGAGCGCGTATTGTGCCCCAAGCATGAGAAGCAGCGCACCCTATGTCCGCAGGAGGAGCATCGGCTCCCCCACGGGGTCAGTCAAAAAAGCGTCGCTCAAAGGGAAAGCAAAGGCCCCGACGGCCTACGCCGCCAGAGACTCTCCGACCCCTTCCCCGCCCCTGACAATTTCGCCCGTCACTGCGCTCGCGCGGCTCCAGCAGTGCCATGGAGGCTTCCCGCTCTGTACTCAGCTCCTCGCACACCTTGGGGATCCCGGGAGTCCTACGATGATCATCGCGGGGGATATCAAAGCCCTTGCGTGGCGGTTCAGCAAGGATTGCGGGATTGCGAATCCTGATGTGGGGGCTACACTGCTTGCGGTGATTTGGATGGAGTATTATGGGAAGGGCGTGGAGGGGGGTGAGGAGGAGATGCGGGATATGAAGGAGAAGGCGGAGGCGTGGGTGAGGGGTGAGCTTGGGGTTGGGGATGATGGGGAGGCGTTGAGGAAGTATAGGGATGGGGTGGCGGGAGTGGTGCGGTTGAGGAAGAAGTAGGGAAAGAGTTTGTGACTTTGAGGATTGTGTATGTTAGGGTTTGCTGTACGTTACTTGTAAAATCTTCGTATGTTTGACTTCGAATAAAGACTCGTCGTTCTAATCATGGGCGAGGTTGTATGCAGTGGTGTTTAGTAGGACTATCGAGCGCATTCTGATTGATCGATTCTTCAAACTTTAGAGCCTGACACTTTGCTTTGAATCAGCGGGGGTAACGAGTAGATCTCGACTTTTATAATTGCTGTACTTGATGGCTTTGGGTGATGATCGATGATTATTTGAGTGCAGTTAGGACTGGTTTAGAAATGGAACAAAATAACCTTCTACGGTCCATACCTCCCAGAGGCAATCAGCAATGAGTTTATTTTGAGCCCATCGCGAAAGACAGGCCGTGGACTGTGAAGAATACATGCCTTGGGTGGATAGTACAACTTTGAGTATCTGCTACTGAATCAGACTTGAGTTTTTTTCTTTTCAGCCCTCGTCATTCATGTGCTTTCCTAGGTGCTTTCCTAGACTCAGATAGCTTTCTGCATGATGATGATGACGAGTCACTAGGCAAAGATACGTGGACATTGTAAGACCAAGCTCATTCGGTTCTACAATCATTGGTACCTTGTACCTTATGCGACTCGGATTCTTGCAGAACAACATGTCGCATGGTGTCAATGAGTTTACATGGGCCGAAAGCGGAGCAATGGTCGTCCTAGATGAACGAATTTGAGATGGACTATCACTAGCACCGGTTGCCTCAGTAAAGGGCGGTGCAGCTTCTCGATGACCTGTTTTCGAGCACCCAGAGTATGCCTGTATTCCCATCTATTGCTATTCTGTTTTATATCTATTTGCATTTAAGAATGTGACTATTGCATATGTCGATCCTCAGGATCGACATTCATTGCTGAACCAGCCGTGTTTTCCAAGTTGAACGTTGAGTCTTCGAAACCCGCCGCCTTGCTAGCTCGCTTCTTCACAGCTTCCTGCCTCATTACTTCCTTCCAGCCTCCCACCTCCCACCCTCCGCATTCTGTTCCGACCCCGCCCCCACCGCTACCTCTGCCTTTCCCAAATTACCTTCCTGTGCTCAGCGCTCAGCCCCCCATGCACCATACAGTGCTGATAAAGTCATTGCGTCAATCACCATATCCATACTCGATACTAACGGCGATGAGTGCGAGCGTGCTTGGCCAGAACTCAGACTCATACTCGGATGGTTCTTGTCCAAAGATCCTTATACCTCTGCGCCCGACGCCGTAGTAGGAGGTGGTACACTCGACCGGTGAGTTTGGGTATGTGTCGATATCTGGGAGAAGGAAGAAGTAGAGATAGAGATAGAGACTATCAACATGGTTACAAAACACACCAAGCCATACAAAGTATTTACGAATTCTACAAACGAATCAACGACAATATCAACCCTTTCAAACTTTACAGACAAGTTATACGGCAATGTCAGCTATTCCAGAAACAGCGAGGTAAATGAACCTAGAATCTGTCAGGAATAACAAAGCAGGTCGCAGAACCGTTTCTAACAAGCGCGCCGGGTACGAAGCTCGTAGCATCGACCGTATCAATGGTGGTCGCACCCCACGAGACTCCATTCGCCTCAGCCCAGGATTTCCCTACAGGGTGACTTTGCTCCGCAGTTCCGATTGTGTAGGAGGCATCGCCTGCTCCATCCCAGAAGAACGCAAAGCGATCGAAGGTGTAGCTGTGGGAGACCAAGAACCTCGTCACACCTGTCTTGGTGGTGGGCGTGGCTCCAACGTGGTTCGTGATTGCGGAATCATTGCGCTCTGATACGAGAGCAGGTTGAGGTTTCCAGGCCCGATGGTAGTGACTATAAGGGTCTGGCCGTTGGTGAATACAGCGTTGGTCATACTGGGGCTATAGTATGAACCAAACGTCAAACAATATAGAGTGTATGTGGAGTTTCGACCTTACTGTTGAAGTCCACATGATATCATGATGGACTGATAACGCTCATAGAACTAAGGCCCTGTGGTGTAGTGGTTAACACCCTTGGTAGATATCCAAGTGACCTGGGTTCGAATCCCGGCAGAGCTGCTGTTAGGTGGTCTTGTGATCCTCGGGGGAATCTCGGATGAGGTCATGCAATACGGAACACGTGTAAGGATCTAGTACAAACCTGGAAACCAAAGTGCGGATACGCTCCGTACTTCTGTCGTTCAGCCGAACTGGGAAAGTTGGTTTGAGATGTGAAAGGATGTGAGTGTAGAACGGTTCCGAAGTGCCTATGGGATGTAAGACTCATGTCGGGATCGTCCAAGGGACTAACATCAGCAAAAGGCACAACTCGTGGGCCTCATGTACATATTCCTGAAAATGCCCAGACAGCTTCCATAGGTGACCATTGTGTAGAGATTTACTCACTTTGGCAGAGTTTGGAAAAGGCTGATCAGTATGGGATTTTTTTTCCACTTTGGAAAATTTCATCCAATCAGGAAGAATATGGAAAAGGTTGCTCAATCTGGAAAGTCTGTCAATGGCACCCAGATTGGACAGAACTATCCATATTGGAAGCAAATGGTCCGCATTGTCCATCTATGGGGTGGAATTACATGCTGGGGACAGACATGCCCACATTGAGAAAAACATTTCATAGCCTGGCCACAAAGCTTATGATACTATAAAACATTCAACAGAGGTTCAAAGTAATCTGAATATTTTGAACTACTCAATAAACTTGTACAGGTTGATATGTACCAAGCGATGATACCATTGCATTTTCGAGTACCTGGCCCAGATGTTTTGACTCTGATCTGAGGGTTATCTTAATACAGTATATCTGGATTTCTTGCGTAAGAGGCCCTAAGCTTTAAATTGCTCTCATTTAGGCCGGTAACCACCAGTGAACGAACTACTGGCAAACGGCGAATAATTATACAACAAGTTAATTGCAATTTTGTCATGTGATTCGTAATTGGCGGTCAGCGCTTCAAATTAACGCCCATGTCCTTCTTTCCTTCCACCATTGCGGTCACAACGTTTTACTAACTATCAACCCCAGTGAAAATCGACATGATTGAAATTGGTTCAAATCGAGTGATATTGGTTCAAATTGAGCGATATCGGTTCAGATTGGAAACTGTCAGCAAATGACAGGTGTATTCACTTGTCATCATAGGAGAACCGATCTCCTTCGAAAAGTGAGACTTTAACCGATTTTTTTCGTTTAAGATTGGATGGAATTGGTTTACATTGTTTCACATTGGTTCATATCTATCTACATCGGAAGAAATTGGTTCCTATTATTACAGTTTTTTGGCTTTCAAATCTGTTAAAATTGATTCATGTGCATTATCATTGGTTCATATCTATATACATTGGTTCAAATTGATTCTATATACATACATGCGCACTACACCATACTAGCAGCAGCAAGAAAAATGGCCTGAAGTTCACATCAGCACGTAAATAAAGGCAGCGAAAAGTGGTACTTACAAACAATTACTAACACGAGCTCCTCAATGCAGATCCCGAAGCCTTCATTTATTGAATCAGTTTCACATGTATGGAGCACAAAAACAGATGGAACTTACCAGCTTTGGAGCAACCAATTTTGAGACCGACATTTATTGAATTAGTTTTACATGTACGGCGAGAATGATGAGGCTTACCTGCTTCTTTGGAGGGGCTGCTGCCTACCCGACACCGCCTCGCTGCCTCATGGTCTTTGCCAAACTTGATAGCACCTGCCGAGGAAAGAAGGAAGGAAGGAAGAAGGAGAAAGAACAATAAAGTGGGTGGTCAAGAAATATCGAAAATATGGCGTGATCATCAAATTTTAATTTAGGGCAGACACCGGCTGCCAGCCATTTGACATGTTCTATAATATCTATTATCTTTGTTGGAAAATGTAGCGGCGGCCATGAATTTGAGCTCAAAAACATTGTTTGTTGGTCGTTGACCACTGACTTGCACACAGGCAGGAAATAGTAGTTACGATGTATCAAAAATTCCCAATACTTGAAGTTTTTTTGAGGTTCTCCCTGTCCTGTGTACAGATTGTACAAATCGCCACCTATATCAATTGTGTATCCTGATGCACCGATACAGATGACTTATATCGATACATACTGATACAGATAGAAGAGCTGACCTACATGTCCCTACTTCTGATACGAGGTGTACAGGAAGCTACACACACATCAGCGAGGGATACATATCATTTTAGTGTTTCCTGATGTAGAATTTACGCGTTTACATCGATAAAAGTAGTGAAGGCCATGGAGAACCAAAAAGAACAGACCACAAGATTGTCTAATTGTGCTGAATCCGATTCAGCCGGGCTGGAACCGATATTATCCGAGCTCATGCTATTTCAACCGATCCTAACAGATCCTAACCAGTCTGAATCATTTCCAACCAATCTCATCATGTTGATTTTCACTGGGCTCTATTCCTCATGGTATGATCTGCAAAGGCTACGCTCTGCACTATACTTCTGCCAACCATGCAAAATTCCCAGTACACTTCTAGCCTGAACAAACGGGTTTACCAAGCTCATGCCAGCTCCTGAAATGAACTCGGGGGCGGTTGACAAATCTGCGGACACTATCTCTCTACTCCACCGCCTTCTCTTGAAGTACTTATTCTTCTACTGGACAGACAATGCCTAACAACGACATCATTTCCGAGGCGGTCGGTCACATGTAAGTCATTCAAACTTTCGTTCATGCATCACCGAACCTTTTCTCGCCTCAGGATTACTGGCTCGTCCGTTTCTGCATCATATCTCCTTTGGAAACTGTCTCGCCACTACAATATTACAGCCATGTCCTGTATCTCAACATGTTCATCAAGGAAGGTTCATTTCATTTCATTCTACGTTGACGACTCCTACTAATTATTGGTATTCTGGGTCTCCAGTATACCATGCCGCTCCCAGTCTTCTCTACATCTCGTCCCTCAAAATCTTTACAAAAACCGAGGCCGCCAATGCAGGCTTTGATCTGCTGGGCTTTGAGCTTCCTTCAGGACCACCCCGCTGTCTTTACTTCACCAGATGTTTTCTCTCTTGAACGCTAGTCTAGCTCGAGAGCAACCGATCTGGTGGAAGACTGGGCCTGAATGCTACAAAACATGAAGCCGGAGTTCTGAACGAGAAGAGTATGGAGATCAAAGGCAACATTGTGAGTCTCTTACTTTTGCTGTCATTCGTTGCTCATGTATGCTGCCAAGCTAGGTAAATCTTCCTTGCGTGATGAAGTGTAAGTTCATTTTTAGCCCTTGTTCTTTGTGAATGGCATACCTTCTTACCTAAATTTGTTTGTTTCGCCGTCCTTCTTGTGTTCAAAGTTTTACCATTCCCATGCTTCCTTTGCGCGCATGTAATCTTCCAGCCTGATACCTCTTCAACGTGCACCCCTCTTTGATGATACTCGATGCTTTCCTTTATTCATGTCATGTCCCACATTATCACCAATGTTTATATATTTGATGTCTCGTTGTTACATGATTTGTGTACAATCTGAATGAGAAATAATTATTTGGGATTTGTTTGCCATCGTGAGGCCTCTGGCAAGGAGATGTCATTATGGGAGAGCTGGATAGGGCGGTCCAATATGGGAAGTATGGAGTAAGGTTTCCAATTTGGAAATCATGGAAACTTTTCTCCATTCTGGAAATCAAGTACATGAGCTCCAGAGCGGATGAAAGTTTCCATGATTTCCAAACTGGGCAAATTCATCCATTGAGAATGACTATTTCCATTGAGGTATCTATTTAGACTTAGAATGATTTCTAGGGATCCAGATTCTCAAAACTGACCACATCTGGGAGGCCTGGTCACTGAGGTTCCATAGGTCTTAGGTTTTGCTGATGAATGTAGGGACGGAAGGTCCGTACTGGCAATAGAATGAACTCGGCGAGTAAGCCTAAGAGTAGATGAGTTTCCGACTCAAAGGGTAGGACCCACTAAGTGCAAGCGGCTTTGATAGCGATATGAGTGGAAGCGGAAGGTCAAGCGGTAGCTGACCTGATGCGGCGCAAACAGAGCGGAACCAAATAGATGATAGTAAATTGCAGAGGTTGTGAAAACAATGGAGTGAAGAAACAGAGTTAAAGAAACAGATAAAGCGAGAAACCGGAACACACAAGAGCACATGAGTCAAGGGGTTAAGCAATATTTCCAATCTACTGTACTTGACATGGTACGGAACTATATAAAGGGTACTCGAGGACCGGAGTAGCGATAGGTAATAATCTGAGAGTAGAAAAGACAAGGATAGCCAAAAGAAGTACAACAGATGAAAGACAACAATGAACATAAGCGGAAGCGGCGGGATGAGCATAAAGCATATGTATGATTGTAAGAATAATGGAGAATGGATTGATGGGATCATAGAAAGTGTACAGTGAAGGAAAAAGTAAAACAGAAGCAAAGTGGAAGTGTATTGGAACTGGAAATGCGGCGGAAGCGGGTTATGTAATGGTAAGCAGGAAACGTCGGCAGTCTGTATATGCCTAGGGCATGACAACACGTTGCTGCCTCCCGTTATTTCAACACTTACAATGTTATGAGAAAGCAAGAAAGCTGGCAAGGACATGTTAGCATAGGGTGTATCTGTACGGTTTTGGCTACTCGCAGATGGAAAGATTAGTTGGGAGGTCACTTGGTTGGGTGAGATGGGGAGGTAAACAGCAAGGGTAGTTAGCTTTTATACCTTCATTTTTATCGCAGGGCAGTTCGGGTTTGTTGTGTTCTTCCTTGTAAGTTGCACGTGAACTTAAACTGGCAGTAGATCAATGAAAGCCTAATTCAAAGAATGAAGGTACTAGTATAACCACATCTACTCTATCTTGACTCCTTCAATTCCAACCCGCTATACACCCTCCAGAGGCTCGTTCCGTGCCATGTGCATCGATTGCTATCCATTGATAACCTTTAACTCACAATCTCTAGCCTCATACCCATAATTTTCTCCGCTGTGTAGGGATGATAATCGATGAAGATCAAACAATAAGAGACCTAAAAAAGTATAAAGGTTCAAATGGGGTGCAGGAGGGATTGAGGGGGAATGGATTTGGAATGAACCTAAGCT